GCTTTGTCCTATGCTTTGTTACCTGGTTGCTGTCTCAGGATGCAGTGCTGCTGGAGCACATCTTTCCTAATTGTAGTCTAATTTGTAGCTGTAGAGGCCTGTAAGATAAACCGTGGTCACAATTCTACACAGTCGCATTTCTGGCTACCTCATCCTCACCTGCCATCAGCGGGAGGTGTGTACGGACACAGGCAATCTCCAGAGTCTGAAAAAATGCTCTCTGAAAGACATACCATAAGATTTTTCTGCCCCAAAGAGAGTATTTAAATTTTTAGTTAGGATTGCCCAATTTAAAATCTAAGCTCTCCATCTGAGGGTTTATATCCTATCCTATGGCCAGGCAGGCAGGGCCATGGGTGTCAGTCTTTATTTTCTTTTGACTGTAGGAGAGACAGACAGACAGAAACCGTTCCCCGCAATGCCCCACAGCTCCAGTGTTCCCCATGGCCTCTCCGATCTGCCGTTATGATAATTTGGCTCAACAGGCTACATCAGCAGCTTGCAAACAGCTCACTGTGCTACTAGTTATGCCTGTAAAAAAAAGAAAAGAAAAAAAAAAAGAAAGAACAAAAATTATTGCTTATGGTATATGAGTTACAGACATTTTCTTTTTGCTTTCTAGACTGATCAATGGTCAACAAGGAATTACTATTAAAAATTATAGTACAAGATCACTTCTTACTGTTACCAATGTGACAGAAGAGCATTTTGGCAACTATACATGTGTCGCTGCCAACAAGCTAGGGACGACCAATGCCAGCCTGCCTCTCAACCGTAAGTAACGTGGACATGTGGCAAATGTTCATGGTTGTTTGTTTCCACATATATGGATTCAAAAGCCAAACAAATAGTAGTATGCTTTTTCCTCCCCTGGTGTCTTCACAAGGCATGTAAATACCATTGCGTTCCTCAGTACTGGGAAATAATGCACCTGGTTATCGATTTCGTGCTGCAGAAGGGTTTCTGTTCTGCAAGTGATAGCACATTTTGGGGGTGTCAACGAGTTATGAATCTAGAAAAAACCCACAAGTAAACCCAACCCGCCGTCGTGGTATAGAGACAGAATTAGCATGACAGAATCTTTCTGTTCAGAATAACAATAATGGATGCCAAGGTACCACCGTAAACAAAGTTAAAAACGTTTTAATCCAGTTTCAAGGGATATACTGAGCTGAATAACTGGGGTGTGCCAGAGCCCTGCTCGCAGGTCGGTTTGTTGGTCGTTGCCCTCCGGTTGCGGAGAGAAGTTGCGGAGGACTTGAAAGTAAATCTTTTGGAAAAGACAATAAGCATTGTAAAAGGCAAAGCAAAGCATTGAGACTTTTAGCATGAAGGTTGCCTAAAATGAGTCTCAGATGTCCTGCTTGAAAGATATTTTTGTCTGTGAAATTGTAGTATTTCACATTTGTTGATATCTAGCCATCTGTCAGTGGCATCTAAAGATGTTCATAGTTGAACTTCAGTGCTAATCTGTTCTGATAGTGCTAAAGCTGAAAGACAAAACTTAGAATATATCCTACATGCTTTTCTCTACATAACGATTTTCCTTATTGAGTGGAAATGTTGATTTTCAGTTGCTTAAATCCTAGAGTTATTGCTTTCTAACCATGAAACTTCCTTCTGAATATACTTCCTATATGACATGTATTGTCAGGATATTCTAAATTACTGCAGAAGAGATGTAATAAGCAGAAAATAGCATGAAGCCTTTGCTGCCATTTTATTTAATATTTGAGAAATCGTTAACAAAGTGGAAACAACATTGCACTGATTTTCAACAGAAAACACAAGAAGTGGAAACAAAGGAATATCATGCCAGAAGCAGATAGTACTTGGTGTATTTGCAATTCAGAGAAGGTAAAATGAAGGTTTGGTTTAATTTTGAACAGAGCAACAGAGCAGAGTTGAATCTGTCTCTTAGTTGCTGCCAGGATTTTATCAGTTTTAAATTCTTGAGGTACCATGTAGCCACCCTTAAAAAGCACTTTGAGATGCGGAGGTTGAAAATGTCATATAAGTATCAAGTGCATTGTTACAAATCATAAAAATAGATGTTCTCCATCATGAAAGAGATGGGATGTGTGAAGCAGAAGAGTCTGGGAGAAAATACTGAAAACTAGGTCTGATCCTGACCTCACGGAATGAAATATGGGGGTGATGTCAGCTCAGAGTTTGACTGAAAGACCAAGATGAAATGTCTTGTTTTATACTATGATTTTTTTAATCTAGTCAAAACAAGGAGAGGTTTCCAAAAGGTAGTGATCTAGATTTCAGTTGGGAATGAAGATCATTTGGTGGAGTTTTTTCCTTGCTCATGATTTGCATTAATGTTATCTAGAATGAGCATCACTGTAAAGAAATGTAAAATAGTAATAAAAAATCACTGGGTAGCAACTTATTAAGTATGGATTCCTTAATCCTTCAGAGAGAATTTCTCTTGTGAAACGCTACTTATGTTTTACTTTGTTGGCAATGGTAGCTGAACATATGTGCTGGTTCAGGTATGTGTGGGGGAAGTGTTAGCAGTTAATGGTTGGTTGCAACATTTGGTAGTCAAATATAGGGTTAAGTGTAATTTGATCATCATGTTACTCAACAAATGTTAAAAATTCAACGCTGATGTCTTATTTCAGCGTGTATTTTAAACTGTTAATTGCATCGGTGCAATACAGCCTGAGCTGCGGGGCGGTTGGAATAGCATCGTTAGCGCAGCTGCCAGTAACGGCCGCGATTCGGGAGCCCCGCCGCATGCCCCGCTGTGTTCCCGTGCGAAACCACGACGGGGGTGCAAAGACATGGGGGTTTTTATCAAAACGCTGTCACAACGCGCAGATACAGCGGGAGTGCTTCAAACCCTGAGCGTGGATGCCTGCACACCTCCGCTGTTAGGTATTGGTACCTTGCCCAGTGTCGCTAAGTAATTGCTAATTGACTGTTTCTGTCTGCTGTTGGGGTTTTATTTTTAAGAAAAATGTGTGCAGCAGAGTTAGAAAATCTGTATTTTCTTTCTTTGCACACCCCCATATAATACATAAATGACATCGTAACTGTGCACAGCTGGGAGCCTTTCTCGGGGACAGAGCTAAGCATATTCTCCATTATCGGTGTCTGCATCCTATGCAGATATAAAACTCAAGGATATCAGAAAAAGGATTATTTCTTCTACTACTGAGAGGGCTCTGGCTTTCTGTGATCCATAAAGGCAACCTTGAGCTAACAGAAAGTCATAAAGCGGGTAAAAGGATGTCAGGACAAGGGAAAAGCTGACTTTGTGTGACTGTGATGTGGACAGAGTACATGAATGGAGCTGTACCTGACAGTGCCCACGGGGTGGATGGGGCAGGAGGAGAACTCGCCTGGGGTATGGCCGCTCACCCGTGGCCAGAGGACAGCCCCACGGCTGCAGTGAGCCGGGGACGCCCATCAGAAGCTCACCCAGAGCCACTTCTGTCTCAGGGATGGATAGGCAGATCAGTTTGCAGAAGAACCTCACATCTGGGGAGTTATGAACATCCCATATCCTGTGAACGTAACGAAATTTATCACATCCCTAACTGAAGACTTGTTAGCCATGCCTAAGATCTACCTATTAATAATAAATTCAGCAGTTGTAAAATAGAAAGGCTGAGCCTTGCGGGAAAAATACAGAGAAGCAGTGGTTCCAATAAATTAATAATGAATGGCAATTTGCTAATTATTCATGGGTAAGTCCTCTGTATCATCCAAATGTGGTGTTTTTTGTGGGTAAGCGTATGAAGTACATGATCCTCCCAGAGCACCCGCATGAGGAGTGTTTGTTGGACGGTCCCATCCTGCCATCTATGGGCCTAATTGATCAGATGTTTAGCACTGCCTGCGCTGGCTCTTCCCAGAATTTCTGGTACTTAAGAAGAGGAATGTAGTCCTCTGCTGTAAATAAAGCATGGATTTGCTGATTCATTAAACCCAGGAGATGAGGTGTTACGGTGTGTACCCAGGGTAAGAGGTTCCATCTACAGAGGTGAGGAGCCAATGGGGAATGGAATAGCCCTTTTCTAATTAAGCAGATTTTGCCTTTAAATCAGCACAATTTTCATTCAAGACAAAAGGCATTTTCCTACAAACAAATTTGCAAGGCCGTTGTGAGGGGAGGGGGTTGTCATTAACCATTGGCACTGAGGCAGGTTTATTCAACCATTTTTCTCAAGCAGCCAAAACTGAGATGGTCTCTACTGCTGCTAAAGCAGCAACATCCTTACCGAGATGTCTCCTGTCCTCACACTCTCCTAGCCAGAAATCACAGTTGGTAGTGGATTTCTTACTTTCTCTTACCAAAGCTGAGTCGTGGCAGAAGGTTTTTCTTACCTTTCATCAATGAGGATAAAGGTGGAGCCATTGTTCAGCCCCTGCTCCCTGCACTGGGACGTGGGGTGGGATGCTGCCATCACAAGCCTTTGATGAGCTGCTGGAGATCCTGGGCCAGGCACGGGGCTCAGCCCTGCTCTGTGGCACCGCAGAACCAGGCTGTACAAGTTGGGTTGTAGGGTGCATCGTTTTGGTATCCTGGCTCGCTCAGGGGTGCAACATCGTGTTGCACCACAACAGCACAACTGTCCTCATCTCCTCTGCTTGAGCACTTGCTAAATTAGGGAAGGAAACTGAGCGGTTGTTGAAATCCTGCATTGTTAATCTGCATGTAGATTTAACATATACATCTACAGAAACTACAAATCTGTTTAAGAGACTCTTCACAGAGGCATTAAATCCACTGCTACATGCATGATCTCTGTGTTGTCCCCTGAAGACACGTCATCGACAAAAGTTTAGATTCATGTCAGCCATCACCTTGCAGAAGATGAAAATGATCATTACTTCTCTAGTAGATATGTGAGTGTTTATTCTTAAGTAAAGGTATTATTATTATTTTCTAGAAAGCACCTTCTATACATTCCCTAGTATTTTTAAGAATGCTGTAAATAACTTGTCTGGTAAGTGGTACCTTTCTTAAGAAAACTTGCAATAATGAGGAAGCATTCATGTCCATCACTAACAGCTGCCAAATAAATTACTCACTTTAAATGTCTGGTTATATGAGCCACAGGTGTTACTGATGTTCAGGTCTACACAAAAACCTTACATATATTGTCAATAATTATTCAAAAATGTAAATAATTGTGAAGAGCTGCAGAAAAGTTCAGTAGCGACATTTGGAAGGTAAAGCAGTGTAGCTAGGTATAGCAAGGTGTTGTGGTTTAACCCTAGCCGGCAACTAAGCATCACGCAGCCTCTTGCTCACTCCCCCCCTCACCCTGATGGAATGGGGAGAAGAATCAGAAAAAAGGTAAAATCCATGAGTTGAGATAAGAACAGTTTAATAATTGAAATAAAATTATTATGATGATAATAATGGTAATGAAAAGGAATACATCAAAATAATAAAACCCAAGAAAAGACAAGCGATGTACAATACAATTTCTCACCCCACGCTGACCGGTGCCCAGTCCACCCCTAAGCAGTAATGGGCCCCTCCAGCCAACTCCCCCCAGTTTCTATACTGGGCATGACGCTCTATGGTATGGAATACCCCTTTGGGTGGTTGGGGTCAGCCGTCCTGGCCGTGCTCCCTCCCGGCTTCTTGTGCAGCTCGCCGCTGGCAGAGCATGGGAAATGGAAAAGTCCTTGACTTAGGGAAAGCCCTGCTCAGTAACAACTGAAACATCAGTGCGTTATCAACATTATTCTCACCCTAAATCCAAAACTCAGCGCTGTACCAGCTGCTAGGAAGAAAATTAACT